CATTTCCCAGGAGCCTTTCACAATATATTTCTTAGAAAGTTTGGCTTTTAAATGACTTTAGGAATAGCTATAAAGGATACCCTAATTACATCTAACCCAAAAACCTTTTCAAGTTTGATTCTAAAAACACATATATGGCCTGAAAATATTAACAGTAAATATTGAATGCACACAGTGTGTGAAACGCAGGGCTGGGTGTTAAACCACCAAGAGTATAGAACCTATTTTTCACTTAAAAAAGTCAAAACAAGTTATTTTTCTATCTGAAAATAAAGCAGATCAATATATAACTATCTTGGAGGAAAAGATGTTCTATATCATTTAAACTAGGTAATAGGTAAGAGGCAAATATAAGTGGATGGCTATACTGTGAGACAATAATTTGCTTCAGAACATAAGTCACTTGGCCATTTCTGCTCTCTATAAATCCACAATCAGTGGTATTTGTAAGTCCCTCTGGTAACATATTAAGGGTAAAACACCAGCCCAAGCCATTGGAAGACTGAGTAGCAATTTCCTTTAGAAATAATCTCTGGCTAAAACCAGATTTTATGCAAAAGAGAATCCTTTTGTTTCAAGGTACCCCCCCTTTTTTTCCGCAATCTCAACTTTTAAAACGAATCCAGGACTTATGACTGACATCAGCAGCCCGCCTAGAAATGCAGCCCGAGGCTGTGTGTGACTTACACTTAAATGTGACTTGGCTGAAAACAGCTTCATCAGAACTTGTGGGAAGGCCAACACCTTTCATGTGTAAAAAAGTTACATATGAAAGTGTGTATCCATGTACCCTTATAATCTAACATTTGACAATAATATCTTTTTGTAAAGGAAGGCAAAAGCTACGAATTTGTCATTTGCCAAAAATGACAAGTGTGTAGAAATAATATAGATTGCTAATGTTTTCCAATGAACCCCAGCCTGGGAAAAGAATATTAATCTACAAACTAACAACAACACAGGTTATCAAGTCAATCTCTAAAACTAGTAAGTTCTCTAAAAAGCAGGTGTTCTTACTCTCTACAGGAAAAAAAGTAAACCTACAGAAGTGGACGGGAGACATTTGTAAGGGCTTCTCTTGTGCCGGTATGTTGCGCACATTCTTTCATGCGGTCTTCAGGAAGGATTACATGACGTAGACCGCATCATCAACACCGCACAGGTGGAGCAAGGTAAGCTCCGAAAGGTTAAGTGACCTGCTCAACCATACAGTAAGTGTGAGAGCTGGACCTTGGATTCCACGGCCCAAGCTGCAGCAGTGACTTAGCTCCCACTTCCTACTGAAAGGACCAGGACGTGGAGAAGCCTCTCAGGGCGGTTCCACTTTACTTGATTCATTCGATTTGCCCCAGGTGCCAAGCCTGAGGGCAATCATCTATGCTGTATCCCCAAAGCAGCTGTGGCCAGTAGCTCTGAAGGTCACCTGGTATCTCTACCGATCACCACGAAGGCGTCCTGGTGCAGATTCACAGCCACCTTCTCGCTGATGTCCATCAACACACTCTGTAAATTCTGATCCTCAGAGTTTGCCAAACAGGTAGCGTGTTCCTCCCAGGATGGTGCCAACATTTCACCCAGAGGATCAACCAATTTTACACCATTGTCTTCCTTAAAAGAAAAACAAGTAATAAGCCCTCCTTGCAGTCATGGGGTGAGGTGAGGACGTAAACTCAAGCTGTTTCACCCCCGGCAAAGGAGAGTGACAGCCGGGTGGTGTTACTGGTGACCACTACTGAAGGCTGGGTCCTGGGCCAGGTGTCGTAAATACATCACCTCAGTAAACCCTCACAAGGCATGCCATCAATCTAACTAATAATCCTATGATTACTTCCACCTTACCCTGAGAAAACTGAGATTCAGAGCATTCGGTTATGTTCACATAGTTAATAAGCGTCAGTGCTGAAATTCAAACATCAAGTCTACCTGACTCTTAAACTCAAGAGCCACTGGGCTACGCTAGCTTCTTTAAAAGGCAGTCATCTCTGCATTCACCATCAATTAACTGACAGGGCACATCAGAAGCAGAATGACAGTCCCGAGAGAGCCTTCTCGCTATGACTGGACACTAAGAATATACTGGCCAGTGTGTCAGCCAGTGGGTGGTAGAGAAGTTGAAAACTGACACCCAATTCTGGTCTGCTCAAATTTCTAGAAAGACCTAAAGTCCAGTTCAGAGTGAATGTCAACGTGAAGAAATAGCTCAGAACTGTTTTAAGAAGTGCTTCCAGAACGAACAGTAAATTTGGGGTTCTGCCTACAAGTCATCAATCAGTTATGGTGATTTAGACATTTAGATGTTTACACATTTATAGTGATTGACATTTAGAAGTTGAATAATCAATGTCCTCTGGTTTTGGGGGTGGGGAGGGAGGAAAAGGAGGTTTCAGTCTTTCATTAACCCACATGGCTTCGATTTATTGCTGATTTAGCTACAAAGGCAAAAGTCTCAAGTTCCTGCAACCAAAGAGAAGCATATCATTCAAACCATGTCCTGGTGACTCACAGGTAGTACAGAATAAGACAATTAAATTTTGTCAAAAGGAATACTTTAAAAACTTGTCATAAACATTAGAACCATTGGGCCTCATCGATATTCTGCCATAAGCTCCCTTTTGGATCCCTGGAGCCACATGTATGGCTGTTCATTCCCTAGCTACAAAAACCTGGAGGGTGGGCGTATAGCTCAGTGGTAGAGCACACGCTTGAAATGCACAAGGAAGGTACTGGGTTCAATTCTCAGTACCTCCACTAAAGAAGAAAAAAAAAAAAGGAAGGAAAATCTGTCTGAAATTTTTCAAAATTCCTAAGTCTTTTCAAGTATTTGCCCTCTCCCCTTCCCCAGCTTGCCTCCAATGTATTTCATCTCTGCTAAATTAACAGAAGGTAACACTTTTTACTACTAATGCTGTCTCCATACAACTAACTTGGAGACATTCTGTTATTTCTCAATATGGACACACTCCAAAAAGTGACAGTCTCATTTCACTCTCTCCTCACCCTTTAAAGAGTCATCAGCTAAGTGACCACTTGTTAAGAAAGAGTTGTATCAAATCCAAAGGCATATAACAATGAGAATGCACATTTCTAGAATTAGAATGTGTACTCTGGGTCAAAGTGCTCAGGCACTATGGTATGGTCTTGCAAATAAAGGTCTGCTTTATCGGAGCACTAAATACATTACCTCAGGATTGTGTGATGCTGTTACCATGACTCCTATGGTAGATTTTGTCTGTTTTGACCTCAGGACAGCTAATAATCCCATGCGAAACATGACATGATCAAGATGTTCTGCTTTCGTTCGAAATCCTGCAGTCCCATACTGAAGAATGAGTCCATCAGGCTTGGCATAGAATGCTGCGTGCTTTGTAAGAGCATCTAAATCCATGTCTACAAAATTAAGGAATATTCTTCAGGCATAATAAGAAATCTTTCCAAGACCATTTGCTCCAAAAACTGCCAACCTAAACTAATAGATCTGTCCTCTCATTCTGAACCTCCTCAAAGAACCCTATGCTTGAGAGAGAAAACATTGGTAGAATAAGCTCTGGGAGTTAGCATTATCTGTCATGTCCACTTCAGGACAGAAATCAGATGGTCCAGAACAATTCCTGAACCCAGGGCAAACTTAAAATGGTCCACTCCCAACTAAGATGAAGAATCCACACGTAGATTCAGAAAATCCTACAAGATCAGGGATCATCGCATTTTACAAATGGGAAAACTTAATCCTGGGTCTCAGGTAAACAGTCTAAATTTACATGGGGAGTTGGTGACAGACATTCTCAAGTGGACTGGGACTGCACACACAGAAAATTTAGGAAATCTGCGTAGTTCTTCTGCTATTCCCCTAGGCTACAGAGACACATTCCCAAAGGAAAAGCAAAGGGCAAAAGTCTCTCCAAGATTGATTCCCCAGATCTCCTGATACCTTGCAGTGGGGTTTTGTATTTTCATAAGGGAAGATCAGGACACCCTTCTAAATTAAGCTCTGAAACTAGCAACATCTTCCTCTCACCTTTAAAAAATCAAACACCAGCCCTTAGCTCACTGGTACTTCATTCTCTGGGATACTCCAACCTTAAGTGGAATCTGGGGCTTCCAATCTCAGGTGTATGCACTTCTCACCTCCCAATTAGTTCTTGATGAAAAACAGTCCCATAGCTACCAGCCTCACTATCTTTTTCTTTACTGTCCTTCATTGCTTCAATGCACAAAAAGTTCAAGGAAATGGTGAAAAATGTTTGGTTTTGTCCAGTTGAAAAAGCTGACATGCAAGAAGCTACTTTAGCTTGGCCCAGAGTGATCAAATCTATTTCACAAGCATGAAGACATTTTATTAGAAACTGGCCAGTCGGCAATACATCATGATTATTCGTAAGGGCGTAACCCATTCCTGTTACATCCAGAACGTCTTTTTTTTAAAAAAATAAAACGCTTCCACCCTTTAATGCGTTTTAGGTCCTTAAACTACTTTCAATGAGTGTGCGAAGGCTTTTACTGAAAGTATTTTCAAGTCCAAACTGTGTTCACGCTAAAAAAAAGTTAATACCCCCCTTCCCTCCATTCAATCTTCAACATCTCGTTAGTTCCCCTCTCCCCGCCGCCCCCGAATCGCAGCATGTTTCCCGGCACCCAGCCCTGAGGCCTCCACCTAGGTGAAGGATGAGACCCTTCCCCCGGCTCAAGACCCTCGGGCCCGCGCGACTAGCCCAGTACCGAGCCGCCCCGGCGAGTAGGTGTGTCGCGCGGCCCGCGGGTCGGTCGACTGACCTCCAGTGAACCCTTCTCGCCGCCAAGCCTCGGGGCCCCGCTCACCTCAGCCGAGGGACTCTCGCTCACCTCAGCCAGGGGACTCCCCTTCACCTCCGCTGCGCGGACCAACTCCCTCGCCGCCGCGTTTGGAACAAGACCGGACTCGCAGACGTGGCCCTGCGTGGCTTCCGGCCCGTCGCCCCGCCCCTCAGCCAATCACAGCGGGGGAGGCTCCGCTGGCCCCGCCCCGCCTCCTCGCCGGGCACGCGCAGCTCGAGCCTGCAGAATTGCGGATCCGCGTTCTGAGAGGGCTTGGGGCTGTTACCTTTGAATGACCAGGAAGGGTGAGGCCCCCGCGGTGGCCCGGGGATTGGGGCCGAGGGTCGCGGGCCCTCAGAGCACTGCAACCGACAAATACGCAGTCCCTGACTCCAAATTTGGGTCTCAGAGGGTGCAAGGCCCCGCGTTCTGGGGAAGCCGGGGTTCCAAGTGGTCCTGGATAGGGGGGTACCAGTCCGGCTATGGGGCCTCTAACAAGGTCTTGGCCCCAGTGAGCGTCATCCGGCCCCTGGCATCTCCTCGATTGTCGAGGTTCATCTCCCAAACGTTTGATTCCGGGAAGCCTTCCCTGGCCGCCACCCCCTCCCCATCCCCCCGCTCCAGCTCGCGCTAAACGTCGTTTTACTTATTTACCTGTAAGACACCCCCACCAACCCTGGGCCCCTCGGAGCAGAGGCCAGGTGAATCCAAATCTTCCGGACTCCCGGGATGCCGTCCCGGGCCAGTGTGGCTCCCGAGAGAGGGGGTCCCACCGGAAGGAGTCCGTGTCGCTGGGGCCCAGGGGCGGCAACTGGCGTGGAGAGCCGCGGGGCCCTCGAGACCCCAGAGCTCAGCTCCGCCGGCACTGCAGGCCTCCCTCGCCGCAGCCTCCAGCTCCGCCCACGCCCGAGACCTGGGTGGGATTCGGGAGCTGGGCCCCCTTCCTTTCCCAGAATTCAGGCTTACAGAGCGTCTGCAGGTGGTATTTGCCAACCACCTGCAACGGAATAATTCGGAACACTTGTTGAAAGTCCAGATTCCCGGATACAGATTGCAAGCGGGCGCGGGGGTGGGGTGGGTGGGAAGGGACTGGGAATTTGAATTATAATGAAGTATCTGGGGGGATGTTATGCATACTAGATTTGAGGCTTGGGAGATAAAGCAGAAGAGTCTAAGTGTCCCGGTTTGTGCCCCTAGCTCTCAGTGCGTAATAGCGTCCCTGCAAAACTGCTTCCACGTAAAGGCAGCTGCGGGAAATTTCGCTGGATACGCGAACGTTTGCAAACCCCATGTCCCTGGGCCTTTGCAGTTTTCCTAGCAGGTTGATTTCGAGTCAACATGTCTGCTTCAATGAAAGAATGTCTTCAACTTCAGCTGCTGGAGATGGAAATGCTGTTTTCTATGTTTCCTAACCAAGGAGAAGTAAAACTTGAAGATGTGAATGCTCTGACGAATATAAAGAGATACTTGGAAGGGACCAGGGAGGCGCTGCCACCAAAAATCGAATTTGTGATTACACTCCAGATCGAGGAGCCCAAGGTAAGTGTCCTGAGTTGTTTTAATTGTTGCCAGGTGCCCTTTTGTTTTTTTTTTTGGAAACACTGGGAACGCTAGCTTCCTGTCCAGAAAGCAAATAGAGAATATTATAGATGCATATTTACTTGTTTGAAAGCAAAATACGGGCTGCCCTGTCATCAATAAATTGTCATCAATAAAGATCTTAAATTTTACATAAATATGTGCACTTTTTAAACCAGTATGCCTAGTGTTTTATGAAACACATCTTGCAGTCTTACACTGCTGTTATTATTTTGTTTACTCATCCAGCTTTTTTACCAATCCTACTACTGTAGTATGTACATATATTATGATTTGCACAAATCTAAATATTGCTTTTAGCAAAACTGGCTTTAAAGGAGTCAATGACTTTGGTGGCACCATGACGCTGAAAGCAAATACAGATAGGAAATCTAAACCAGAAAATGAATTTACCTTCATCTTCTGACCCATTTATCTCCAACATCATTAGCATAGCACAGGTAACAAATTTGAGAACCACTGTGCTGGCTACTTCCTACTCAGCCTTCAGCTGTCACTGCCTCAGAGGAGACTTTCCTGGTTTCCCAGGCTGGATACCGCCCCACATCTGGTTCCACATTTCGGTGGATCCCTGTTCTTTTCCATGGCAGTGCTTCTCACCCTTGAGATTAAATACTTGCTCTGTGTCATTATTTGTTTACTGTCTCCTTCACTAGGCTCTAGACTTTATGAAGGGCAGACTTAATGTCTAGCTTCTTCACCTCTTTATTTCACAGTAGGGTACCCGACACATGGTAGGTATTTGATGAATATGGGAGTGAATGAATGAATGCCCCCATAAATGGAAGGAATTTATGTACGTATAATTGTGTGTGTAAAATCCTGCAGTGTCTGGCACACAGCAGCAGCAGTTACTCTGTTGATCAGTATCATGCAGTGGCCAATGATAAACCAGCTTATGTGACTTTTTGGTTCTTAAATCTGTTTGATTTTCATTCTAAGGTGCAAATTGATTTGCAAGTAACCATGCCTCACAGCTACCCCTACGCAGCACTGCAGCTGTTTGGACGATCATCTGAACTTGACAGACAACAGCAGCTGCTTCTCAACAAAGGTCTCACTTCTTACCTAGGGACTTTTGATCCAGGTGAGCTCTGCGTCTGCGCAGCCATCCAGTGGTTACAGGATAACAGTGCCTCCTATTTCTGAACAGAAAGCTCGTGTACGAACCATCTACACAAGCCAAGCCAGTCAAGAACACATTCCTCCGGATGTGGATCTACAGTCACCACATATACCAGCAGGACCTAAGGAAAAAGATTCTGGAAGTTGGGAAAAGGTTAGAGGTGACAGGATTTTGCATGACAGGAAAGCCTGGCATCATCTGTGTGGAGGGCCTCAAAGAACACTGTGAGGAGTTCTGGCACACAATCAGGTACCCCAACTGGAAACACATCTCCTGCAAGCATGCTGAGAGCACGGAAACCGAGGGAAGTGGGGAGGACCTGCGCCTCTTCCATTCTTTTGAGGAATTACTCCTGGAGGCCCATGGTGACTACGGATTAAGGAATGACTATCACATGAATCTCGGCCAGTTCTTAGAGTTTCTCAAAAAACACAAAAGTGAGCATGTTTTCCAGATATTATTTGGTATTGAAAGCAAAAGTTCTGACTCCTAGGAAGCTGTGATAAGAGGCCTACGCTTGTCATTTCGCTAAGTTAGTGCATCTGTCAATAAGACCAAAGTAGAAGTACCAGTGGCCATTTAGCTTCCTCTGTGGGAAACCCATCTCCAGAATTTCTCCCTGGTAATGAAACACCACAGGCCTTTTAACTTTACAACAGTGCAACTGTGACCTTACTGCTATGTTCTTGTGTTAATTGAAAACTATTTAATTGTAAAATAATAAAAGACAGTTTAACCAGTGAAGCCGATTTGATTAAAAAGGAGTCCAAAGCCCAGTTTAACAGCAGTGGTCAAATTGTGGCTCCAAAGTCATGAGTAATATTTCCCCTTTTCACCTTGCTAGCATGCAGGTGACAAACCACATTTTCTTCCATTGAAGAGGAATTCTAAATCAAGTTTAAAATGAGAACGGGGAGAGAGCACATGTGTACTGCATTTCTGACTTGAACTTAACACCCCCACCCCCATTTTGGGTTTTCTCTTTTAGTAAAACCAAATCCTAACTGTAATCGTAAAGGAATGGAGAGTAATGAAGACTCACCATGCTAAGTGTTGTCTGCTTACATCAGTTGATTAATGGTATTAAGGAAAATGATACCAGTTTTCTCAGTTCAGTTCTCTCCACAGAACCAGGTATGGTTTCTGGTCCACGCAGTGTCCCACAGGTGCTGCGCATGGCAGGCTTCATCCCTGTGCCTGTATGCATTGCTACCTGAGGCAAGAGCGCTGAGAGAGGACCCCTGGGAACAGCTATGCACTATCACCTTACTGGGACACCAAAGCCAAGCTCCACACTTTCATGATAAGTCACTGCCACCTCTTCTGAAACTGCCAAGCTCCACAGGTGTCACCAACCTTCTTCAAAAGGGGAGTTTAATTTCATGATAAGAGCCCCTATTTAAGTGGCCCTTGCCAAACCTTTTCATTACAAAGTATCTACCGCTCCCCAGGAATTTCTGGGAGTCTCAACTACCTGTCCTCTCTGAATCTTTCTTTGGTTTCCCTGTCTGTCCTTAGCTACTCCTGCCCTTTCCCGGGGAGCCTTCATTTTTCTGCTGGGTCCCAAGCATCCCACAGATGTACTGGTCCCCTCAGGACACCAAAGCTGAGTGCCAAGATTTAGTGACCTGGAGAAGAACGCCTCACTCCCCATCTCCTGATGATGCTGGATGTCAAAGTTGCTGCATGGGCTGGCGGAACTTACAGAATCTTTGATGAAAGAGTACATTGTAGTTTCTGGTTTTACTCGGTGTCTAGGATACAGACTCGTGTCCTTGGGCAGGGCTAGGACATAAAGAACAGCAGACCTTGCACTAAGCTTGCTCTCCTGACTGAGGCCTGGGAACGGGGTCCACTTGGTCCTGCCTGCGCTCTAAGTGCAGAATGAATTTCCTTTCAGGGCACAACTCAGACCCTCAAACCAAGGCTCTTGTCATGGACCTATCTTGCCAGATCACCCAGCTTGCCCATTCGTGTTTTAATCCTAGCTTGGCACGTGGCTGGGACTCAAACTGAGGCCTCAAGTTCCCTCTATACAAAGGAAAGAAACAGGTCTTACGATGCCCAAGGCTTATTTCTCAATCTTTACTAGGACTGAAAACATAGTATAGGAGTCAAGTTCCCATATAATCCCAAGACCATCAATAAGTAAATAAGCATTCCCAAGCTTTTAGGCCCTAAATAGATGTAACTTCCGTAACTTCTGTTTTGTTTTGTTTTGGGTGGGTGGGGGGGTAACTAGGTTTATTTACTTTTTTATTTTAATGGAGGTACTGGGGATTGAACCCAGGACCTCGGGCATGCTAAGAACACGCTCTACCACTGAGCTATATTCTCCCCCACCAACTTTTTTTCCTTTGAAATGAGACAATAATATATGCCCCCCACCTAATATGTGCCTAAGCCACTCACAGAGTTTTTTCTATGATCAAAGTAGCAATAGAAAGATAGGTCTAAAGAATATGGACAAAAAAGATTGTTTATGTAACTCAAATGAAGGGAATAAATTCTAATTTATGCATGATTTACTGCTTCTGGAGCTGTTTCTGATGCTAACTTTTCAGAACCTGCTTTTACGTGTTCTTTAGGAGCACACAACAGTACTTTCTTCCTATCAGAAGTACTAAAGATAGACATTAATAACAGAAGTGTAGGTTTTATAGAAAACATACGTATGTCATTCTCATTCAAAGCTCAGCTTTATGTATACAGTAGACTGCTGGTGGTGTTTGCCCAACCTGATGGGAGCAGGAACCTCCTCCCACCCACACAGACACACACTCAACACTTACTTTGGGGAGATGCCCTTTCTCTGGCTTGGGAGAAGTGACTAGAATCAAGCTGACCTCTGGTAGCCTCCTGGAGAGATGGTTTTGGGCTCTTGCTGCTTAAATCTCTAGTGCCACCCTCATTTCTGTTCCACAGAATGCTCAGCTGTCCAGTACTTCCTCTGAGCTCCCTAACATCTACCCCTTTTTTTCTTGAACATCAAAATCAGTCTCTCTTGCTTGTAATTCAAGAATCCTAATACTGTGTTCACTATATTTTTAAATGGTTATTTGGAAAGAATGCTCATTATAAATGTCTCTTTTTAAAACTTACTGAATTAAATCAATATTTCAAATTATGTTCTTTGCTCGTCACTCCTTGTTGGTCTGTTACGTTAGACTGAGGGTCAAAGATACTTGCGTAATGGATTGAAGAAAAGGTCAGGTGAGTTGACGCACCATCACGCAAGGACTTCTAAACATCCCTATGTTAAATCAGGAATACGTTGCCTGTGAACTTGACTTTGTATGACTACTTACATGCCACCCTTCTGAGAAGGCTTTGAGGGAGCCTGCCTGAGGTCTTCACATTGCACAGGAGGATTTTCTTTCACTTGCTTTTACCTCAAGTAGCCCAGTAGTCAGTTGAAAGAATAGGTATTTTCTGGAGAGGGCACGGTTGTTAAAAAATCCTGGCTTTATATAGAATCCTGATTGGCCTCAGAACTCTGAGCACATTGGATCTCCCTCCTCAGGTCCACATGGTAGAACAGCTCTCACAGCAGCCTGGATCAGTTGGAGAGAACTTCTTTTTTTCCTGAGCCCAGTTAAATCTAGAAGCATCTAGACCAACCCATCAATGGATTTGAACATCACACAATTCAAAGAAGCCCACCAAACACTGAAGTTCCTCCTTAGTTGTAGGTGGTACAAAGTGTACAGTTTGTTCTTCACTATGGAGGGGATATTCCAACATAGGCCAGACATTGGACCAGCACAAATTTGCCCGAGGTGGCCAGCTCTTGTGCTTTCACGGGATTAATTTCGACCCTCAAGCAGGATATATCTTAGGAGAGATCCAGAGAAGCTCATGCACCTGTGCTCCAAGCCTTATGAACATATATCATTTTGCATGTGTTAGACCAGCATGATGCCCTGCACAATGGTGAGATAATCAAGGTCTAGTATCAGGAGTTATATTTGGCACATAGACAGTTCATGGAACATCAAGCGAAGACAATCTTTAATGTTGCTTATTGATAAATTGCTGCTATAGGTGCCCTCTCCTTCCTGGAATAAAGAAAAAACAAAGCTCTGGCCCCATTAATAGCTACCTACTGATTTGCTCCAAGAACGAGAACTTGTCTGACAACAGCTACAGTTAGACTCACCACCTAATTAAGCTAATGAACAAAATGCTGTCACTCTTAAAGAAACTACTGGTCTCTTGCACATGCCAAAGATCATCTAAGTCAGGATGTGATTAAGAATCACATCCCTGCTTCTTTTAAAGCTTTTGATGGCGGGGCTTATCTCGGCAAATCATTTGCTGTTTCCAGCCAGAATAACTCTTCTTCTGTGCATCACGGATCCAATGTAGGGATATCGTCGTAGAACTGAAGAAATCAATTCCAACTCTTCACTGGGAAGATAACTAAACAATGGACTCACTCCTATAGCATACACTTTGTCCCACAGACCACAGTGGTTTCAGAAATTTGTATTTGTTCACAGATGTTGCCAGATGATTTCCAAAATGCCTAGTAGTTTCTTTTCTGTAATGCATTGTTATCCTTGTAAACGGAGCCTCAAAGGAAGATTTTGGAAACATATTTATGATATTAGAGAATTCTTCACCTTAGGTATCTTTCATTCATATCTGTGCACAGCCATTTGGGGACGTCTGGTCAGGATTTCCTGCTGTTGTTGTTACACAGATCAGTAGTACTAACATGGGTTGCCCACATTTTTGGTCCTAAGCCCAACTGATATTCAGCTGCTATACAGTGGTGTGGCTGTATCAGTTATATACACTGGCACCCATTTTTCTTGTGCTAACCTAGTTGTTAAATTTTTCAACATCATTTCAGGCTCTGGGATCCTGTGATTTACTGGTCACCAGGAAAGATTTCTGTAGGCCAAATGATTCTGATTATACTGGACCTGGTTCATATTATAACTGTTTCCACTTTGTCTCCAATTGTTAATTGCCCAAAATGCTGTTTTTAAGCCTCTGGTATTTCCCAAGATCCTGACATTTCTACTGAAATAAGGAGCCCATTTTAACTATAGCATTTCCTACAGTCCTCCCCAGCTTAGAGAAGAGTCATAAAAATGCTTTTCGTGTCCTCAACAAAATATTAGCAAACCAAATTCAACAATACAGTAAAAGGATCATACACCATGATCAAGTGGGATTTATTCCATGGATGTGAGGATGGTTCATCATCAGAATATCAGTGATACACCAAATTAACAAAATGAGGGATAAAAATCATATGGTCATTTCAATAGATGCAGAAGTAGCATTTGACAAAATTAATACCCAGTTATGATAAAAACTCTCAGCAAAGTGGGTATAGAAGAAACATACCTCAACATAATAAAGGCATATGTGACAAGCCCACAGCTAACATCATACTCAATGGTGAAAAATCTTAAAGCTTTTCCTCTAAGATCAGGAACAAGATAAGGAAGCCTACTCTTGCCACTTTTGTTCACCATAGTATTAGAAGTGCTAGACAGGGAAATTAGGCAACAAAAAGAAATAAAAAGCATCCAAATTGGAAAGAAAAAAGTAAAGCTGTCTCTATTTGCAAATGACATAATATTATATATTAAAAACTCTAAAGACTCTACCAAAAATCTGTTAGAACTAATAAGCAAATTCAGTTCAGTAAAGTTGTAGGATACAAAATCAGTATACAAAATCTGTTGTATTTCTATACACTAATTAATAATAAACTATCAATTTTTTTAAAAATCCCATTTACAATTGTATCAAAAAGAATAAAATACCTAGGAATAAATTTAACTAAAGCGGTAAAAGATGTGTACACTGAAAATTATAAGACAATGATGAAAGAAACTGAAGATGACACAAATAAATAGAAAGATATTATATGTTCATGTACTGGAAAAATTAATGTTGTTAAAATGTCCACAACACCCAAAGCAATCTATATATTCAGTTCAATTCCTATCAAAATTCCAATGGAATTTTTCACAGAAATAGAACAATGCTAAAATTTGTAGTGGAACCACAAAAGACCCTGAACAGCCAAAGAAATTTTGAAAAAGAAGAACAAATTTGGAGGCATCATGTGCCCTGATTTCAAACCATTCTACAAAGCTGCAGTAATCAAAACAGTATGGTTTTGGTGTAAAAACAGCATACATAGATCAATGGAACAGAATAAGAGAGCCCAGAAGTAAATCCACACATATAAGGTCAATTAATTTATGACAAATGAAGCAAGAATATTCAACAACAAAAAGACAGTCTCCTCAATAAATAGTGTTAGGAAAACTGCACAGCCACATGTGAAAGAATGAAACTAGACTACTATCTTACCCATACACAAAACTTAACTCAAAATGGATTAAAAGCTTGAATTTAAGACCTGAAACCACAAAACTAGAAGAAAACAGGTGGTAAGCTCTTTAACATTGATCCTGGTGATGATTTTTTTGGGATTTGACACCAAAAGCAGAGGTAACAAAAGTAAAAAAAAATTTACATGAGACTATATCAAACTAAAGAGCTCCTGCATAGCAAAGAAAACCATCAACAAAATGAAAAGGCGACCTACTAAAAGGGGGGAAATATTTGCACATCATACATCTGATAAGGGGTTAATATTCAAAATAAATAAAGAATTCATCAACTCAATAACAAAGAAATAAACAATCTGGTTTTAAAACAATCTGATTTTAAAATGTGCAGAGGATTTGAAGAGAGATTTTTCTAAAGACGACATACATACATGTACATGAAAGGATGCTCAACATCATTAGTCATCAGGAAAACACAAACCAAAACCACAGTGAGATAACCAGACCCGTTAGAATGGCTGTAATCAAAATGACAATAACAAATGTTGATAAGAATGTAGAGAAAAGGGAACCCTTGTGCACTGCTAGTAGGAATGTATATTGGTGCAACCACTATGGAAAACTGTACAAAGTTTCCTTAAAAAATTAAAAATACAACCACCAAATGATCCAGCAATTCCACGGCTGAGTATCTGTCTGAAGAAAAAACACTAATTCAAAAAGACACATATAGCCCTACTGCAGCAATACTTACCAAGACATGTAAACAACCTGTCCACTGGCAGACGAATGAAACACACACAGAGACACACACACACACAAGCCATAAAGAGGATACAGTCTTGCCATTTGCAACAATACGGATGGACCTTTGGGCTAAATGAAGTAAGTCAGATAGAGAAAGACAAATACCATATGATCTCATTTACATGTAGAATCTAAAACCAAAACAAAACAAAAAGCTCAAAGATACAGAGAGCAGATTAGATTGGTGGTTGACAGAGGTGGGGGATTAGGGGAAGCAAAATGGGTGAAGGGGGTCAAGAGGTATGAATTTTCAGTAATAAGTCATGGGGATACCATGTACAGCACAGTAACTATGGTTAATAATACTGTATTGCATATTTGAAATGGTGACAGATGTTAACTGAATTTTGTTGTGATCATTTTGCAATATACCAAATATCACATCATTACATTGTACACCTGAAACTAATATAATGTTAATTATACCTCAGATTTTTAAAAATGCTTTTCATTGATGCTGCTATTCTCCCTTCACCAATGTATTTCTCAAGACCTTAGTGAAAGGAAGATCACCTACAAATCCTCTTGGGAGACTGCTAGGGGATTAGGATGGTCCGATTGCGCATGACAGATTCAATCCATTATTCCCATCTTTGAAAATCTTCGAATTCCTTTATATCATTGCAAGGAAATGTTTGTGTTCTCAATTTCATTTAATGTGGGTCCTTATCAAGTCTATAAGTGAAATAAGTCAGTTAGAGGAAGACAAATACCATATGATCTCACTTATATGTAGAATCTAAAAACAAAAACAAAACAAGCTCAAAGATACAGAGAAAAGATTTCAGTCAACTAACAGAACCAACCAGTAGAATCACTTTCAGTTGCTCAAGGCAGCACATTAAATGCAGGATCTGTGGCAGGTGCACCCCGATCAGTCAACTCTGCCCAGTCCATAACTGCACTTCTCCTTCCTAAGTGCAATAGTTTCAGAATCCCATACATTTTCCTCAGATTTTGTCAACATAAATAGCAAAGTCTAGCATTCTCTTGGTGGGAGTCTTTTCCTGGGGTTGCCTTTTTAATTGTTTCCACCTCAGCTCTTCTCCATGCTGGAATCTGATATTATGCCTATGGGGATAATGAGAAGGGATCTGGGAGGAGAAGGAGGAGACTGAGTGAGGTCATTACAGGATCTTCACGCAAAGCAGGAGCAACCTCTTTAGGCAGGAAGAACTTCTGCTTTGATTAGCCAGGGAGGACATGTCAACCATTCTGGGTTGCCTGGGGTTGAGGGGTTTCCTGGGACAAAGGACGTTCGATACTCAGACCTGAGCTATCATCCACCCTAGTTTAGGGTATCACAAGTCCAGGAGTGGGATTGCTGGATCATAGGGTAACTCTATTTTTAATTTTTTAAGGAGCCTCCATACTGTTCTCCATAGTGCCTGCACCAAATTACATTCCCACCAACATAATCCATCTGAAGGCTGAAGGCATCCTTTTTAATACACTGTGAGGTAGGGTTCCAGTTCGAATTTTCTCCA